AACCTAAACAATTCTATGATTCTATGATCAATGAAGAGAAAGTACCTGTTTCTGGCAGTCGTGGGGCAAATTCTCCTCCCATTGGTGTGATTTTATACCTGGTGAACAAACCACAAGGCAGGACCCCACCTCCAGCGCCTGAAACTTTGCCCCTCAATCTGCTTTTCTGACCATTTTGCACCAAGTAGTGCAAGTAGTTTGCACCAACTACATCCGCATGCTTAGTGCTGCACCTCATCCTTACCTGGAAGATCTTTGATCTTTTATTACTGACACACTGTACAACTCACAGACATCAACAAGGAAACATCAAAGATGGAGTTTTACCTTTGTTCTGCGGAGAGGCAACTTATTGCTACCTGTGCCAAATTGCTATAGATTCCCTTGTCTGCAACCCCACCGCATTCAACCACACATTATCACAGCCTTCCACTGCCCAGCAGCTTGCACACCCAGATTTTCTGTGTGCATGTGAAGCTGCACAGATGCAGAGTTTGCACCTTTGACAGCATGCTGAGTTTGGGGTAATTATCTATGCAAATTACCCATGTTTTTAATTGCTCGTTTTTTTAAACCCTGGCTCTGACAGGGAAGGGACAGGCTGGTACTTCAGTGCAAAGCTGTGAGATGCCAGCACGGTAACGCCAGGCTGGAATTCATGCGTCTCCAGCCAAAAGGGGATGCTGAGAGAAGCAATGGCATCAAACAAACAAGATGCACAGTCAAAGGCTTCGTACACAAGGGTCACTCCCAGGAATGGCTTGAAAGAGAAATTCCTGAGGGTGCCAGATCTCTGTCAGCACCGATACTCCTACAGCTTTTTCGATAGGTGCACCTCCGCAACCAGCTCAGTAAGAGAGAAGAAATGAAAAAGAAAAAACTCATTGCTTTTAGAAATTGTTCACAGAGGAAAAGCGGGGAGACACAGTCAGAAACGTCCAATGCAGTAAAGTTAAATAAAGCATTCAGAGAATTTTATGTCCCAGTAAAAAGCAACCCTTGGCTCATCACAAGCATATAACATTCACAAGACCCTCTAGACAGGTCATTACCTGGATTATGGGTTTAAAACCTGGTTTGGCAATTTGGCTTTGCCTCAGGGCCATTGCATGGCCAAACAGGTCCATAATTCTTGATAATGCCCTTTCCAGAGGATGGTATTGCTTCACTAATTTGTGTTCAAAATCTTACTGCAAAAAACCTCACAAAACAAAGCGATGAAAAGAATCCCAAGATGATGACAAAAAGGCAAAATAAGAAAGAATGAGTAAGAGAGAGGGTAAGGGATAGTGAGGTTTTTGCTCAGAGGTTTGCTCTTGCAGAGCAGGAGGTCAGGCAGCTGCAGACTGAAGGGGCAGCGCTGAATTTTCATTACTGTGCTCCTTCCAGAGCTTTGCCCTGAACCACACAGCGAGGAGGTCGCTCCTGCACTCCAGCCACAGACCACACCAGCTGTATTCTTGCTAAGGGCTCGGTAAACTGGCAAGACACTCTTCTGTGTGCCCCGTACAAGCTGGCTTCTTGTTAAAATGATCGTGTTGCTGCCCCAGGTATTGACTTGTCTTTTGTTGGGAGGAGGAAGAAGAGGGCAGGAGGTAACACCTTCACATGTGCCACACACTCCTGGAGTCCCTTGTGGGGTTGCTGAAAGCACCTTGAAACTGTGGTATTTCAAAGGGATGCCTACATCTCCGAGGCTGGAGTGGGAATTGAGGAGAGAAGAGGTTTATGCAGGATGAGCTCCCAGGTCATCTTGCTAGCAGCAAGCTTGCACCTCCGCTCGCCGGCACTTGCAGGCAGCTTGTCTCTTTAGAGTAGGAAAGGAGGTTTGATGTCTCCCCGAAAAGGAAGGACGAAGCCGTGGAGGGATAATTGCATGTGGTGAGCATTGACGTCCCTGCAGCTGTGAACGGTCACTGCGACCAGGCTGACCTCTCACAGGCTCCACACAGGCAGTGTGGCAGCGGTCACCATGCCTGGCACGGCCCTGGGTAGGGAGAAAGGACTGCAGGAACCCCATCAGTTCCCACCCACAGGAGCAGTAGGCACTCATTTTCAGCGTAACCCAGAAGACATTAGCATTTCAGCAGAAAAAAAAGGAAAAGCAGGCTTTCAAGATATTGTTAAAAATTCCCCACATCATCTTTACACAGAAATGGTTTGGTCTTTAAGAGTTTTCTAAAGGAAATAAACTCTTAGATATGGAGAACTGAAAAATGCAGAATGTCTTTGGGTGGAGTCTCTGCTCCCTTGCTGCTGCCTCAGAACAAAGCAGGGAAAGATAGAAGCAACAGGAGTGGAAGGGAAGCTTAAACAAGGGTGAGTAAAACCAGGATCTGGTCAGATGTGTCTAGGAACCAGATTCAGGAAAAGAACAAGAGGAAAAAGAATAAAAGGATTGGGCAGGGCAAACACGGGCAGGTGGAAAAGCGGGGAGATGGGGAGCTGCAGGAGAACAGAGAAGCTGGTCCCACAGCCCGGGCTAGCGAGATCTTGTGGAGAATCTGGGTTCTGCCAGTGGACAACCATGCAGATCTCCTCTTGTGTTCCTCTACTTCCATGCTGAGGAGAAAGACCAGAGGTGGAGGAAGAGGATGGGAAATCCCATCCCAGCAGACTGCTGCCAGAGTCAGCGGGCATTCATGAAACAAAGTGAAAAATGACAGCAGCTCAGGCCCATCTGAGGTGTGAGGTTAGCTTTTGGGAGTGTAAGCACTGCTGACTGTAAATGAGCTACTCTACCAGATACACACTAACCTCATGCACTCACGCTCACAGAATTGTTCCTATGGGCGAGAGGTCCCGAGGAAAGCCCACTCACCGTGCTGCTGCAGCCAGCAAAGCAGGCAGATAAGTATGTGACCCCGTCTGCCCCACAGACTGGAGTGAAGGAATCAGTTTGGCATTCACAGTTGTTATTGCAGGGGGAATACGGGTCCAGAGATGAGGTTGGAGTTGAGCTGTAAGAGAAAGAGAAAGAAATTAATGGGCAGTGTGATGATATCAGCCAGCTTTTCCAATTGTTGCCACACAAAGATGGCTTTGAAGGGGGGAGTAGTTAAGGCAAACAAATTACAAAAAGCAGCGGGCAGGGTATCTGGGTCCCAACTTTAAGAAATCCAGGCTACAGCCTCTCCTTGGGGACAGAAATGCCATGGCCACTATCCCTCTGCAACAGGGAATCTAACGCGAGACTTGGGCTGCCTTGTTACCCCAATGAGAAGCCCCAATGAAACCCGAAGAGATGCTGTGGAGATTGCTTTGTATTTTTCTAGAACAGTAACCGTGAAGAGCTGAGGGCCTTAAGTTGTCATTTTCTAAAGAGTCACCACTGCATACTGAGGAGCACCAGAGATAAGAAAACACATAATAACTCTCCAAGTCCTGTGAATGCTGCAGGGCACTGCGTGCATCATTTCTCCCCTTAAAATGGGAGCCATGCATACTCTCTCCTCACCATATCTGAATTTCCAGGCATCTAAAACCTGGTTCTACAAATTCCCCTCAGGCACTTAAATAAATGTACAAAGCAGGGCATGTCCCTTCCTGCCAGCAGAAACTAGACGGTGCAGTGGACCCAATGCTACGTAGGTGGCCATGGGTGCAGAATCAGGTCTGGCACCTTTCAATTCAGTTTGACCGATTTTAGTAAAACTCCGTTGTCAGCTGCAGCTACTCAACTCTCACAACGATGAGCGGCATGAAAACCTCGCAAAGTAAGTGTCCTGTACGACATTGCCTTCTATATGCTTGTTCCACATGGTTGTCTAAGGGCCAGCGCTGCCTGAAGGCTGCCCATTGAGGACGATAACATGGCATTTTTTGTTGGTAAGGCTGCATGAGACCCTGAAACTCTCTGGGGACTCACTTGTTTCCATAGGGAACAGTAACCCCTGCCACAGGTCCTGTGTCACATCCCAGGAACAGGAAAGACACGTAGCAAGCTGTGGACACCAGGTTCACCAGCATGGCCATCCTGATGGCTCCCAGAGCAGACAGACTGAGCTTCTTCACCAAGAGGCCACCCAGGAATATGCCCAGACATGCGCATGGGATTGCTGTCATCCCTGCAAGAGGAAAAATCAGTTAGCAACAAGTGTGAGCGAGGCTCAGTGAACCACACTATCACAGCTTTTTACTTGCCAGCAGACAGATCTGTGCACTAGCATGGGGAAACCTTGTAATGACCAACTGCTGGAGTAGCACCAAGATGGGGTTGCCCAAAAAGAGAGGAACGGATGCAAATGGGTATGCTGCCTTGCACAGAGGAACCGGGATCTTCTTCCAGTTCGTGTCCATATTGGAGGGAGATGCCAAAATTGCTGAGATTGGCTCACCTAACCTAAGCAGCAGCTTCTCTAACGCTTCCTGCAACCATTGGCAGACAAAGTCAAGAGTGTCTAGAGGCTTTGGAGGAGCTCTGCTTGGTATACTTCACAGCAGTCTGATCTTCAGAGATTAGGCAATAGTCGCATTTGAAAATATGAATTCTCCCTTAAAGAATCTTCTTAAACTGAGAGTTGCAAAATCACTGCCAGATGTGACTCACTCTCCAGGCACAGAAAGGCATTATCACACTAAGCTTGTCTGGGTTCACTTCTATCCCTTTGCTGCCAGTTATACTCCAGACCTTACCTACCCGGGCTAAGCTTAAGAAGTGCATCCAAATCCTGGCATTTCTGGATTGTCACAAATGCCACCTGTGAAATCTGGCAGCAACTTCTTTTAAATTAAACAAGTTGTTGTGAAGACCGTGGAAGTATCGAAGTCTCTTTTCCCACTGCTAAGTCAGAAGCAGGACGTGCTCTGGCTCTCTGGTGATTCCCTCTCTGCTGACCATCCCGCTGTACGCACATGCTGACTGGCCAGGCATCCCCTATCAAACAGTGTAGTGGTTCTCCTCCTCCCAGTGGGTCAACAGTGAAGTTGCTTTCCTTTGCCAGGCTTTTAATTTTCAGGAAAGATGGAAGACCCTAACATCTCTGAATACCCTTCTGTCAAACCCTATTAAAATTCACCAGTGAGTTCCTGTGTTGCTGGGGGAGGCAAGATTGACTGCAGGGCATTTTTTCTTTTGGAAAACCAGATCAAAACCAGAAAATATCAATGACTCCAATGGGAAAAAAAAATAACTGTCAGGAGAGCAGCTTGCAAGCTTCTTATTTTGATATTAAGATCCATCCATTTCATCATGTCCCAGTTTTTGACAGATCACTGCCAGCTGCCCATCTGGCGAGCTGTGGTTGCAGATCATCCAAGATCACCTCACAGATATCTTAATTGGGTGCTGCTGAGAGAATGACTGTCATGAACAAATCGCTGGGCCAGCTTGGGAATGAGCAGCAGGAGACAATAAATGAAGATCCTGCCTATGCATCAGTGTCCTGACAGGGAACGAATGAACATTGGGAAATATATATATATGGGAAACCGCAGCAGCATAGCATGGTCAGAGAGAAGGGGCATTTGAAAGACAACCAAGTTGCACTAGCTCAGCTGTTTGAACTGCCGATTGCAATCCTATCACTTCCAGTCCAAGGGGAAAGGAGAGACTAGCAGGAGAAACTGGGCTTCCTAAACCAAATGGAGATGGGCTGGAGAACTATGGGACAGTTGAACCATGAGACAAGCAGTTCAACGGGCAGTCCTGTCACTCAGCAAGCAACTGCAGTCTTGGGCAAACAAATGGCCCAATTTGGTTGGGATTTCTCCTGCATTTCAGGGCCACCACAGACTTTCATAGCCTGGCTACATCATACCACTTCTCACACAACGGGCTCGGCTATAGAGGAAGTGATTGCAGCGGGCTGCAGTGGAGAATGCAGTTGAGGAGGAAAGATGCTGGAGGTCTGCTCTGGGCTCTGCAGCCAAAGCACAGCTGGAGCCCAGCCCTCCCGCTCACGGACACATTTCTAGACCTTGGGCAAGCCACTTTCTGAGCAGCCTAACCGGTAAGCCTGGTTGTGGTTACCAGCCATGCTGAACACTTTTAAATACCTTTGGACACTGGAGATTTGGTGGCCCCTGTGGTTACTCACCCAGGAGCTGGTTGGCAGATGAGGTGGTGAGGTTGAACTGCTGCTCCAGGTACTTTCCCAGGAAGGCGGCAAAGCCGGCCACCACCGCGATCTCCATGCAGGCTGCCAGGATGATACAGGTGAAGACGGGATTGGAGAGCAAGTGCTTAGTTACTTTGGGGATCACTAGAAGAGAGAAAAAAGGGAGAGGTGTTTTTGTACAGGCTCTACTTGAGGTGCTGGAGGTGCCTCGCTGCTCTCCTGCAGGACAGACTCACTTCAAATCAGGAGTAATTTTCTATTCTGCACAGGCAAGCTGGTTGAAATGTGGCAACACCAGAACAAAGTGAAACACCAGAACAGTGTCATCTAAAGATTCAGATACCAGGAAGGTGCAAGAAGAAATCACCTGTCATTATGTTTACATCTTACAGATGATTTTGAAATTCTGAAGGATCAGCGTTTTTCCAATATTGCTTTTGTTTCCTCCATAGGGAGGTCAATCAAAGCCTAGTATTCTCTTTCTCCTTCTCCTTTCCCTCCCTGCTCCCCATGAACAACACTGAGCCAGCCGATGGGTGTCATGAGGACTGTACTCAGCACCGCATAAATTCTTGCAAGCTTTCAGACACAAGCTAACCCAGCTCACACTTGGCCTTTCCTTCTCCTGCCATCCAGATTTGCTTCATTTTCTTATTCCCACGTAACACTGCTGAGGGATACCTTCTTGCAGCGCATTTGGGTGCAAGCTGACATTCTCCTGCTTAGCCTGGGGCCATGGGCATAAGGGACCTCACAGTTGGGACAGGCAAGCAACGCCTTCCATGCAGACCATACCAGCCTTGGTGGCTGCAAGGGTGGAAGAGGACACCCCAAGCTATTCACTGTGTAAGACGCACACACACTTGCTTTAGTTTCATGATCCCTTGCTCCTCCCTCCCAAATTATTAGCATCCAGAGTCCTCTTCTCCAAGCTCGTCTCTATTTCGGATAAGCAAACACGAGTTACCTTACAAAGGGAAATCTGGCTAATGAATCAGATAGCACGTTTTCTACTTCAACGAACATTTTAATTATTGCCGAGATAACACAGCTTGAAGAGGAGAGCATCCCAGTACAGAAGAGAGCCTTGCTTTTTCTCAATACCTGATGACTAATTTCTCCCTGAATTAAATGTGAAAATCATTAAGTTTGAAAATTACCTTGCTGAAGTGTAGTGAAGCCTCAATGGACCCCTATTTACATTTTGAAAATCCATCCCCCACGTGCCCAATGGTGTACCAGGGTCTGGCAGATAACAGATTTCTCTGGTGTTGGCTTCTGTTTTCCCTTAGGGCTTTTTTTGGTGCAAAATCTAATTGCACTAGCCTCAGCAAGTAAATGCACAGCTCTTTATCAAGGCTGTGCTTGGGTCCCCTTGGTTCTTTCTTTGGGGGAAAAAAAGAAGGGTTATAATTAGGTTTGATCCAACCTTTTTGGAAGGGGCCACTCCACAGTTTCTGTTCTCTTTATATCACAAATGTTTTTTCATGCTGTATAAAATTCTTGCTTCCTGAGGATTTGCTGAACATAATGAAGGTGCTGGAGGCATAGTATTTTTTAGTAGAACAGGGAAAAAAAGAGGAAAAAAAAAATGCCATGAGGGAGGAACGGGGGTGGGGGGATTTAGATGTGGATAGATCTCAGAAGCCACCTGCTGCCTCCTTCAGTTCTTTGCTGGCCACCTACAGAATTTCTCCTTCTTGCCAGGAAAAGAAGGGAAAATGCAAAGGTGGATTTGGCAGCGCTGAGCTTGGAAAGCCATATTTAAGATATTAATGCCTGTTGTGCTTCTGGAGTTCAGTTTGTTCGAGATGAATGGATTCCTCGAGATGTAGCTTTGTGCCAATTCAAATGCAAAGACACAAAGGTCTACCACTAACTTTATCCACCAAATAATAACAATGACAGCCTGTCTTTTGGAGGAGGGAGTTAAAGAGCAAGGACATTTATTTCTGAAGTTGGCAAGGCTGGCACCAAACCATCACGCATTACCAAGGTCAAAATCCATCCTTCGTACTTAGGGAAGGACAGCAAAAATTTTGCAGAGTTATTGCAGCATCTCTCACAAGAGAGGAGACCCTCGTGACTACCTTGCTTGGCAGTGTTGGGCTATGAGTCCCATCACTTCATCATTGGTTCGCCCCCTCGTACGTCCAGGTGTGAGTCTTCTGGGACACATTCTGTCCTCCACTGCATGTTTGACTACCGTCTACTGCAACAGGGCTCTATACCAGCTGGAGTGTATAACACAAAGAGTGCAAAGAGTGCAGAGGCAACGCAGGCAATGCCTGGCAGCCTCCACCATCTCCTCAGCCAGGGCCAGCTCGTTCCCTTTCATTTTCTAAGGGAAATGACAGGAGGCTCCCCATAGAAATGAATATCCTTTCATCTTGCTACTGCCACCCGTTAAGATGAATCATTTGACACCTGCTGCTGCCTTATCTGTCTCAGTTCTTGGGGTGAAGTACCTCTGGGAACAAGATTAAAAGTCAGCAATGAAGTTTAAAAATCTCTCAATAGACTAGAGTGACGTGTTTTCAGCTGCCTGACACATGGTGCTGGGTATGAAGGGGAAATGGAAAATGTCTGATGGGGGACAGTAAAGCGCTGGGGAACACAACAGCTAAGCATGGCGCTTCTTCACTGGAGCGGATCCCAGCAAATGTCATGATAAACGTTACCCTGCACCTTGCTGGCCCAAAGGTTAGCTGAACACTCTGTAGCAGCATTTTGGAGCTATAAATCTGAGGTTGAAGCCCATTTGCCAAATGGGAAAAGGGAAAGGTCTTTTGGATTCAAAAGAGTCTCAAAAATCTACTTGGAGAACCCATGTGCTCTATCAGACACGGCACAGAAAGACTCACCCTCCCACGCTCAGAAGGAACAGCTCATTTAACATCCTTATCCCAATGCACCCAATACGCTACAGAAACAACGGCAGAAAAGCGATTCTCATTGCCATGGCAAGATATACTGAGAAGAACAAGAAACCTCAGCCTCTTTTCACTGCTGAAGTACTTAAAACCCAACTCTTCAGACCATCCACATGCAGCATTGGTCATAGGATCATCCATAGGTTGGAAGGGACCCAGGAGGATGTCCCAAAGCTCTCCAACACCCCTGCCAATCCCTCGACTTCCCACCTTTTAAGACCTCAAGCAACACCCATGCCAAGGCATCAAGCATCTTCCTTATCTCCTGCTGTGGGGCCAGCTGTGGGTGACAGGCCACAGGCTTGACAAGCAAACACACTTATGTACACCAAGTAGCTTTGATTTGTCACTAAACATCAGGGAGTACCAGGGATAATTGGCAACCTCATTACATGAGGTTTAACTACTCTCCAGAAACGACAAACTATAATCATCACGTTGGTGCTTGAAATGAATTGTTTGGAACATTACAATCACCAAGGCCCCTTTTTCCAGTTGGAGCACCCTACAGAGACATGTTTTCAATTTGCAGTAAAGATGAGGAACACAGAAAGCAAAGTAATAAATTAGAGGGAGGTTTACAGCCCAGTCCACCTAGGACAGCGTGGTGAGGGAAAGGCGAAATGTAGCATTGAGCCAAAATACTACCTTCTAATAGCAACGTAGGCAGCAAGCCTCAAATCTGAATAGAAAACAAAAGGCAAAATCTCCTCCTGGCTTAAGGAATAAGGGATGAAGAAAATAGAGCAGGCAGCAAGAAGAAAATACCTCCTGGAAAGAGGCAGCTCCCATAAAAGAGAAGATGGAGTAGTAAGGCAAGAGGCACTGAAGATATCTCAGGTGAGTTTAATATGCTGAAGTCCACATGGCCTTGGCAAAATTAGTATCACAAAGGATATGAAAGAAAAGGATGACACCTATGTCAAAGAGGCTTCTTGACAGATACAAGCTTGAAGCAACAGTAATGTTCTCATGCATGGAAAGCAGGTCCTTCTAGTCTATCATCTTGCCTCCAGCAACCACCTTTGCTTGACTTCAGAGGGGGACATAAACCTCCCTCACAGGGAGGCACAGTATCTTTTTGGAGACAGACATGCTCTGCCTGACCTCAGCTGCTGCTCAGCTTTTGCCCTGAAGCGTGCAGGCTGAAGGCCTTTCTGAATTAATCAAAGCTTCTGATAACAAGGATGCTGGCTTTGAAACAGAACCTGCCAACAAAGCCTGCACCCTCATGAAATCCAAGTCAAAGGAAACTCAGAGACTGATGTGACCTGATGCGGGGCCTTTTATGATCACCTACCATACCCTTACCTAACATTAGGACTTCTCAGCAAGCCCTTTAGATGTTGGTAGGGAGCCAAGACCCAAATCCAAAAAGGCATTGAGGTCTTGGTACCTGTCTAGATCTGGGCCAAAGACTCACTGCTCTGGCTGTGAATGACGGTACAGATGGAGCTCCCTCCAAAAGGTTGTCACTATCGCTCGTTAGAGTCATGAGTTTAAAACTAGTGTTGTTAGCCATTAATCCTGCCTCAATCCTATGAACTCCCATTGAGGACTACATGCTCTCCATGGCCCCGGACCCCCCTGCACAGCTGGGAGCTTCTGGCCCAGCGCTACGTGTCTGCTCCCAGAGAGCGCTTTTGGGGAGAGAAATCCAGGATTCAGAGCAGCTCCCTCTCTAGGTATTCAACAGATCGGTACACAGAGCAGGAAGGAACTGAACAGAAGACAAGACAGCTGTCAGCTGTACATCCCAACTCTCCTACGCTCTTGGAAATGAAGCTGGACAGAAATCAAAATGTTTCCAAATCTAGGGAATTTGCAGTTTTGAAATTCATTTAATTCCACAGTGAGTTTTCTTTTAATTCCTTGTGAATGAGCTTCTCTCTCCAAAACGGAAAGATTCCATATCAATTTCAATCCTTTTAAGTTTTAATCTCTCTCGCTAGACAGACAGGCAGAATGTAATGAATTTCTGGTTTAAATCATTGCAAAACAAAATGCATTTAGAGCAGAACGTTTCAGGGGTGTTAAAGATAAAGCCAAAGAAGCATTTTGAAACCAAATTTCATCAGAACTGACCGCTCAATTCAGTAGAAGTGACATTTCCATATGAATAAAAAAAAATTATTTTAACAAAATATTTTCAAGCACGTCCTGGGGCAGGTGGTGGGTTAGAGGCAGCGTGTTAACAGCGAGTGAGAGGGCAGATGCCAGACAGACACGAGCAGAGGGCACAGGTGCCCTGACACAGCCGAGCATCGTCTCCAGCCCCAAATAGCAGAGAGGTCCCCAAGGCAGACCAGAGGTAGGAAAGCAAAGCTGTGCCCCCAGGACAGCAAGGACTGCTGCAGCCCACGCCTGAAGTGCTTTCACAGACCATACGGAGAGCGCAGGACTGGAACAACCCTGCCAGGTTGCCAGCCGAGAGCAAAGAGCAATGGCAGCATTTATCTATCCTCTCCCTGCTATTAATCCTTCACTTCCCTGTGCTCCCAAATGGATTTTCATTGCTTAACTGAAATACTAATCAGGTAAAGCGGTACAGCATTCACATGCCAGTTTAGCAACGGTAAGCATCTCCCAGGACTATCCCAAAGCTTTCTTGCCTGAGCCGCCGTGCCCCTGTGCAGAGCTGCCGTGGCAGCCACCTGCCGCCTCTGCTGCTTTTGATTGCCTCTTCACCTTGTGCCGTTCAAAGGCATGGTTTTCATTTCAAGTTTGAAGCTCCTCTTAAGGATGCTTCTTTTCCTGGCATGAAAATACCCCATAGGAAGAGATGCTGTGGCTTCTCAAAAGCTGGGCCCTCCCTCCTGTTTAGACTTTGACAGAGATGTAAAAGACTTTTTGACACTTTGAGCAGGTTGCTTTTATATTAGTCCTAGCTTTTCTGTGTGCTAAGGCTAGAGAAAGCCAAGGAATCTCACCCAGCCCTCCATCTCACTGTCTTTCAGCAGATCTTGTAGTGTCTCAAGCATCCTCCCACGTGACAGCCATGCCATGTCGCTAGCTGACAGCCATGACCCTCCTAGGAGCATGTCTCCAACTGACATGGCCCCGCTTCCTTTCCTGACATGTCCGCTCACTTGTGGCAGTCACTGCAAGGCTTGAAAAAAATAAAATAAAATAAAAAATAATCAAACCCCTTCAATAGCCAGAAAGGAGACTCACTTCAGCCTCTAAGGATGCGCTGTTGATACACAGTGTGTTTGCACATTCAGTCCAGAGGAACAACTCTTCCTCCCCACACATGCACAAGAGATGGACAATCTACACCTCCATGCAGACATGGACTTACAGCCGGCACACACCTGCCCAGGACCGAGCTGCAGAGACACCACTTGCTAAAAAGGAGTCAGACTTATGGCCACACAAACCCCGATGAGCATTTCCACCCCCAACCCCACGTACAGGTACATCCTCCGCTGTTCAGCTTCACAAACACATGCAAACCCCAAAGCCCATAATAGGACAGAAGACACGACTATGCAAGCACATATATATTTTTAACCTCTGTATATAATTACCAGTCCTTTCTATCCTAGGAAGAAGGCTAAACAGTCTAACTTTCCCCAATGGAAACTTTACACAATCAACAAGGATATGAGGTCCTGCCACATAGGAATGCATATATATTGTTCAGCTGCTGGCAAAATAACGTATATACACAGCAAGATTCAACCCACCACCTTAAACACTGCTCATCAGAAATGAGTGAGGCACATTTGCCTTCCCATGTGGTACGTGTCTGAACATCTCCTCCAGGTGGGCACTTTAGCAAACACGACTCTTGACCACGTTCCAACTGTGACAACAGTGGCAAGGGACTTGAAAGGAGATGTCAGCTACCAACACTGTGTCATCTGTGACAGCCTCAAAGGCATAACTAAAAAGGTCATTCTCTGTCTTATTTGATGTGATGTAAATTGTATTTCAAAGTCCATGTACAAAGAGACTTCTGGAATACCGACTGATCTGAAATGGGGTTACCTGAAATGAGAAGGCTAACATGGAAGACTGTGGTGCCTCCTGATGTAATCAGTACTTTTGAAGCATGTGGATGTGGCAGTTTAATTTCTCTACTTCAATGAGCAATAGATGCTCTAGGAACCCCCCCACGGCCTCCCTGTGTGCAAGAAACTCAGCTTGCTCAGCACCATCCTCGGACAGAACTGCTGCCCCTCCATGCAGCAGGGACATGCCATGTTCTTTCATTTTTCTGTATGAAAACCTGCAAAAATTTCCAGTGCCCATTCCAAAAACTCAGTGGCCAGAAGCAGATGCTCTAATGAGTCCATGACAGAAGCCACAGAATTATCCAGATGGACGTACTATGGGAAAAGCCCATTCCTCAAACTTGAGAAAATCCTTGCAACAAGGATGAAAGGATGAAGAAATTAATTTTACTGACAAATTTTCAAACAATTTATCCCTTTACTTTTCTTTGAATTTTCTCATCAAGTCAAAATTTCACATCTTTGACCTTCCCTTAATGAACAACCACATCAACTACTCAAGGCATTTTTGTATTAAGAAACACTTTTTTCCCCAAAGTCTCTTTTTCCTTCCCACCTGCAGCTCATTCAATTCCCAATTAAGGTCACTGCACAAGGAGTAAGTGATTTTGTCCTCATTTATCAAAATGCATTAGGCAGTAATGAAACCCGCTCTGCCACAGTGACAGAGAGTGAGAAGCAACCACCAGTACTACAGAATCACCCTCTGAGATGAAGGATTTTCCAGTGCAGCCTATAGAAAGGATATCTGACCACTCTCTCCCACAAAATGCCGGATCCTTAGCTGACCTTAATTAGAGCCAGGTCCACTTCCATCACTGCAGGACACAACGTGGGGTTTTCTACTCTAATTTGCTACAAGCCATGCTCTGCTCTGCCACTTTGCTGCTATTCTAGGCTGGTATCTACCTCTTCCCCATCCCAGTTTAAGAGCTGCAGTGATGCCCAGCACTCATTGCTTTGTATCTGGGATTGCACTAAGCTGCAGCTCAGATGCCAGGAGCTCCCAATTTCTTTTAACTGCCCTTGCTGGCTTGCTCTCCGTTTCGGAAGGCAGAGGGGAGCAGGACAGTAGACTGCAGAGAAGTTCACAAATTGCTTCGGCAACTGTGTTCCTCTTCATTTTTTTTATCAACTCTACAGGACTATCATGCATTTCTGAATCTTTGTAGTTTAAAAAAACCCAAACCTTTCAAGTGGAACAAAGTCTCTCTTTAAAATGAGGACAATGCCAGAGATAATTAGAAGCTAGGGACTGAAATTTCAGGATACTGAGGTTTTTTGGGGATTTTTTGGGGGGGTAGAGGTAGATAGCCCAAATGACAGACCAATTATAAATCCAACCAGCTGTTAACCTGTTGCTGACTCTCACAGAAAACATGACAAGAGCCAGTGTCTCACCTCGCAGCTGCTGGAAGCAGGTTGTGCTGCTCTCCCCGTCCAGCGCATGCCGCAGGACCCCGTTGCTCGGCTTAGGTCTCTCATAGTCCCTCTCAGGAAGCATGGCCTGCTCGCTCTCCCCGGCATGCTCTGGCCGCGGGGGCAAGGACTGCGGGAACCCGAACATCGGCAGGGACGAGAAGAAGAGTAAGGCACCACACAGCAGGAAGCCTCCCCACCATGCACCGATCCACCGAGGGTCGTCCGGGGTTATGTCCAGCTTACCTGCAAGGGCACACATACACACACACACGTCAGTGACTCGGCCACAGGGAGGGGAAGACGACAGTGTTAATGATCCTGTAGGCTGGAAGATAGTTGTTGGGGGCTTTTTTGGCTGGTGAGGGGCTCGCAGATACAAGGAGGGGACCCACAGTGCATCCCACACCCATACCGTGTGAGCCACCAGTGCATAATAACCTCCATGTCCAAGAGGTCCTTAGGACAAACAACCCATCACCTTGCCTATCTAGATGGTACATCCAGCTTCTGCAACACCCTGTCATCAGAGCTCCTCTCCAGTGTCTCTGGCTCTGCCAGCTCTAGGAAGCTGCCATGTCTCCTGTGCTGGCACCGAGGTTTTGGACATCACTGTCCCAGCGTGTCAAATGTGCACACGCAGCTGACACACCTACTGGCACAAAGACCTGCATGGAGAAGCAGCAGCACAGACAAGGACATTGCATCTCCATCCCGGCTTACCCTTTTTTTCCAGGAGGTCAATGCTCTCCTTGCTTTGAATTCAGAGCCCTTTTCAGACAAGGAGAGATGGTCATTTGGGCTTTACGGGCACCTGGTGACTGTGTGGAGAATGAAACAGTCCTAAATATTGGAAAAGAAACCCACCCACTGCATCAAATGGGCTCAGAAAGGTAGAGATATCATCAGAAAATGAAGAAAAGCAAAGTAAAAGGCAAGAGTGTCCTGTAGGCCATCGCTCAGTGGAGATAAGGAAAAAGAAGGCTCTGGAGTCAGTTTGGGGGAATAAAAATAAGCAGCAGGAGAGACAAAACTGTGTTCCTCACTGCCACAGCCGCTCAGCAAGCTGGCGGAGGGTGCCCAGCACTGGAGACGACTCCCGGGAGAGACCCAGGTCTGCGTGGCTGGAATAACAAGCTCCTTTGTTCATGATGTCTGTCTGGTTACCGACACTCTGAAAAATCTGTCTCAAGTGAGGCAATCAAGTTGTCTCTCAAGCAGAGAAGGAAGGAAACTCTTTTCTCCTTAGGGAAAATAACACGTAGCTCTCAAATATATATAAAGTTTGAAAAATAGTGTTTTGGAGGGATTGGATTCTTCTGCTGTTATCTCCTCCTGCCTGAAGTGCATTTTTTTCAGGTTCTTGGGAACACAGTCACGTGAAGAGCCACGTAAACCAAGGACTTCTTCATATCCCCTTCCTAAAACAGGTCCTGTATGGAGGGCAGCGCAGCAGTATGCCCTGGCATCCCACACCTCCTGCCCAAAACGGGGAGCAGAACACGGCTCAACCCTCTGGAGCTCGGTCTCCTCGTGCTGCCCTGAGCTGCAAGGCAGAGCCAGCTGCAATGTGGAAACAAGACGGAGGCCATGCGTGCCCCAGACTTCACATGACAGCGATGGACCATGGCCAAAGCCAGCTGGACTTGCAGCTGGAAAGCACTATACCCTCACTATGACCCACTGAGCCACAGCCCCTTTAGGCTTCTCTGTGATAACACTCCACCGTTCTCCATGGCTCCGTATTTGTCTGGGGCTTTTGAGCTGTAAATACAGAGCAATGTCTTATGTTAAAAATGGCCAGATCACATCAAATTAACTTTTTAGCTAGGCCAGCATCTTACCTCTAATGGTAACCAGCTGCAGATGCCCAGAAAGTCCACAAGAATAAAGTCAACATATACCTGATATTATTCTTGTGATTTGTGGCTCAGGGACTTTCTAAGCTAGATTTGGTGTCATGTTCATTTTTTCTTCTATAAACTCATCCAATTGTTTTTGAATCCATTTGTAGACTTTTAACACCCTACGGTGAGGAGTCCCACAGCTTCACCTACTGGGAGAAGAAATACCTTTTTCTGCACATTCATATTTTGGAGTAAATTATACTTAACGGTCAAATATTTAAGAGGGTTCTGTTAAGCTCCTCTACCTACAGGACCAAGCGAGTCTTTGGCATATCTTTGCTAAAGCCAAGGAATGAAAAGGGGCCATGTGGTGTTTGACCAAGCCGCAGCTAAAAGTCTCAGCCATCAAAAAAGGTACTTTTTTCCTGCTCGTTTGATATTATTTAGATTTCTTCAGCTGCCATGTGCATGCAAGACCGAGAAAAGGCAATAACACCTTTCCAGATTTGCATGATTCTGTTCCAAGTCCTGTGAGGTTCAACTCCATCCAAACACATCCTGAGAAGATGTATTTGCAACATCATAGAACTGGAATGCACCCTCAAAGCGGACAACATCCCTGCGGCACGACAAGAGCCTGTGGGATCAGACGGAGCTGAGAACTGTAGAAAAAGCATCTAAACAACTGAGGGAAAAGAATGAAGCATCAGGTTTGCAGTCTATAGCCAAGGGGCTTGGGGAGCAGCAGAGAACAGCCTGTCACACATTGCCCTCTAATGGCGAAGAGCACATAGTGCAGGTAGCAATAAAAGCAGAATTTGCAGATTTTTTTCCTAATGAACAAAAAGACAATTTGCAAATAATTTGCTTTAAGCCAAGTGGAGAGTCAAGGTGAGCAATAATTAGCACTGCTTTGGGAAAAAGCAATAATGCTGTGGGACTGAATCTGTCCATCCAAACAGGGTCATTTGCAGAAGGCGCTGGGCATAGGTCTTACTGGTGTGCCTCCATCAGAGAGCCTGCACGGTCCTCCCAGGTCCTGGGGATGGCAGCGCTCCAGATTTCACCTTGTGCTCTGGACACAGCTCCCCTGGCAAGGCTATGTCCATGGCTAGCCAGTGTGCCCTGCCACAGTGGTATTTTAAGGTGTCCTCTAAGAACTGGGCTGAAACTCATCTCACAGTAGAAAAGCCCATGGAAGGGAACAAATTTTAGCTACTACAAATCTGTTATATACAGGGATAGAGTTGAAAACTTTTGAATTCCAGTTATAAAACCCCTCTAAAAGTGACACCCATACATGCAAGAAGCACTCAAGATGGAATGAGAAGCAGTTTCCTGCCTGTGAGCATCAACATTTTTGTTCTGCTCATACAACATTGGCACATTTGATTTGAAACCAAACCCAGTTCTCCTTACTTGTGTCAATGAAGACAGCATCCACATAGATTTTGGTACAGAAGGAGCCCAAGATAAATCCACAGGCTGGTCCAAATACCAGCATCGTAAACAGGATCCCTACAAGGAGAGACAAAAGAGAAAATTAGTACTAGGCTCAGGTTATCCATTGCAAGTTGTTCTGCTTGTCTCCTGCAAGATGGTATTGCCCTACTGATGCCAAAAAGATAGGGATATGTCTCTGTGTTGAATGCTTCAAGGCAAGAGAGTACTCTAAATACTTTTTGCTTTTCCGTATCTCTTCAGGAAAAAGAATAGATGGAGCTGTGATAATGCTGAAGGATTTCTATTGAGCTGAGAAGACAGTGTGGACGTATACCGTGTTTTGGTCGGCTGGCTGCTCTAAAAGATGTCTTACTCAAAAGCACAAGGTAAAGCAGACCTGCTTTCTCCCCACGGGGAAGTCTTTACCTTTGCCACCTCCAGCTAAATTCCTGGTAGACAGGGATATTTTCAGAATTTAGGGCCAGCAAATCTATGTAATGCAGTGTTGTCACAGACTGCTGGATAAAGTCCCTTTACAGAAGTATGGGCACTCTTCCAAATCTGTGAAGCCCTTTTCCCCATCATACCCACATGACAAATATTCCCCAAGGCGCACGGCTCTTCCAACCTCTCACAACTGCTCGCTCCGCCTGCAAAACCTGCATGAAATTGCCAATATAATGCCAGGCAAAGAGCTATTATGAGTAAATTACTTATTTGCTTCAATACAATATTTAGAAGCATGTATTCTAACTCCCATTTTGGCCCTGAAACAGGAACGCTACAGGCACACCGCCAACTCTCAGTTATCCAGGGCAGAAAGGCAGGGGGACACAAGGATAATCCAGAAAAAGCAGCAGCAAAGATAACACAAAACATTTGTAAATTAGACAATAGGAACATCTTTGGTACCTTCACATTTGGGATAGAAAAACAGCAAGAAGTCCCCAAGGGCCCTTGTAAATGGCTTTCTGAAGGAAGCAGGGGCAAGTCTGAGCAGCACGGAGCAGAGAAAGCGTCTTCTCTTTCATTCTGGAGCAGAGCATTGCTCATGGACCTATGTGCCCGGTGAGGGAGGGAGGCAGCTCTTTGGGACCCTTGGCCAGCGATGTGCCAGCCTGTGCTGGAACTAGTCTTGGTGTCACTGCACTTCAGAAATGTCCCATGAAGGAGCTTATTCGTATCTGGGTGCCTTGCTCACTCTCCTTCGGCAGCAGGGTACATCCCACATCTCTCTCCAAATCTCTCTGGGGGTGCTGCCTGGCATCTTGGTGCATTCATAATGCACTTCATCGCAGCTATCTCAGCCCTCAAGTTTCTTAACTGGAAACTTTTAATTCCCAAGTTCTCTCTCTGTGCATTTCCCAGGAGTTGGAGAAATGATCAGAGCTGCAAAATATTCCCAGGAAACCACCAGCACTATGCAAGGCAGACCGCACCTGCCGATGACAGCTTAGCCAAGCAGAGTAAGCTGGTACGGTCAGAAGTAACTTCACCTTCATTTTTAAAACGCAGAGCACAAACTAATTCCTCCAGGTTTGTGGCATCGTGACTTGGCTGGATTAATAACTAGGTACAAAGCAACGGCATCTCCAGCCAGCCACTCACGCAGAAACCCAGCACGTTAATGCTTTCACGGCTATCACCTACAGAAGCAAGAGGGAGAAACAAGGGTGGTCGGAGGAAAAAAAAGTGTCAAGTCATATGAGCCACAGTAACGAGTCACTGCTGTCAGGACAGCGGCAGAAGCTGCCATCCCTTGCCCTGTCTCAGCTAAGCTTAAAGCTGCAGCAACAGCACCATGTCGCAGCCCATGCTGCCAGCTTAAATTAGTCCCCAGGGTCTCTGCCCATGATGTCCACGCCAGCAGCGGAGCAAGCCATCTGCCCTCCCGCAGTCACCTTGTCCCCAGGCATTGGGATTGTGTTCCACGATCCAACAGTAAGTTGGGGAATTTGTGCTCCTCAATCAACAGAGCTGCTTAGGAAGCCTGTGGCTTGCTCCCCCAGGGATCTATAAAGCCTCACGTGGAAGATCCCAGTCCCTGGTTACCTGCAGAAGCACTTCGTGGGATGTGAAATGAGGGAAGAGACAGGTTGGGAGAACAGGGAAAAGGGATTTCTTTTCCCAGCACACACAGCCCCATCTCCCTCCTTCCCAGCCCCAAGGCCTGCCCCACTTGGGGCTATAAAATTTCCAGTGGCATTTTATAAAATATCCACATCGTATTTTTTTTGGTCACTAGATGGCATCAGTGTTTGTCATTCATCCCACAAATGCCATGTGGAGCAGGCTGGGTGACGTGCAGCCCACCTCGGCTCCCCAGCCACGATCACGATCGTGTTACTGGGGGTCCTACAACCCCTGGGAGGATCGCACTGACGGCAGGGTGCTGCCTTCACCCACGTGTCTGCCATACACGCAATCAGGCTGCGCCCTTTGCCTGTTCGCATGCAGGAAATCACAGATTTTAGAACAAACTGTTCTAAAACTGTTAAGTTTTTAGTCAGAGAGTTTAAACAGACAGCATCTAGCAGAGGAAAGGCCACGGCTATTACTCTGATTAACAAGCCAGCAATCAAAGAACAGGTTAATCTCTGATGACTGAACATTAATTGTGCATTTCTGTGTAATTATGGTCAAGCACGTAAGGACACACTGGGCCTCATATCGGTTGGAGCAGTGCCTGGGGCAGTGACAAACAGAGCCCACGTTTTGGATGAGGAGCCCTTGGATTTTAGCAGGACTCTGGACATTGCTCTGCTCTTACTTCCCTACCCTAGAAGGAGTAAGGGGAAGGAAAACCCAGGCAGATCTGAGCACCCCCTTTTTCCCAGTCCCAGATCCTCAGCCCAGGCCCTGGTACCCAGCACCCAGGGAAACCTGCTCCCCCAGAGCTGCCTTAGGCTTCCCACCCCGAGGGAAGGTTGCTGCGGGCACCAAAGCACCCTGGGCTGCGACAGGTTCCCACAGACACCAAAGAGCTGTTGCCCTGATGGGACCTGTGTGTGCGTGGCCAACAGACAGCTGATGCAGGGCACTCACAGGAGAGGGTTATAAGCATTTAACAGCTCTGGAGAACTGGGAACACACCAAAATTGTCATTTGGCACCGATGCAGGCTCACGCGGCTAAGCAGGCAGAAGGACAAGGACCAGTTCTAACCCTCCAGGCAACACCTTTGGATGTACCAGTGTTGGGTTGAAGAGGGGCAGAGTTTGTCCTGTGACGATCTCCAAACCACAGGCAGGGTTGTCAGACCGTGCGTATACAGGCAAAACCACAGAACTGAAGTGTGTTTCATGGAGCAAAGGGTAAGACAAAGAATGTAGAAAAAGATCATCCTTCACCAAAAAAACCCCAGGGAATATTTTTCCCTTTTTCCAAAGCAGAAGAGAGCACGGACCTTTGGCTAGTGATCATCAGCAGCAGGAAGATGCTTGCAGAGGCAGTTAGCTCAAACGAAAAGCAAACGTCAAGAAAGCTGCAGCCAGTGCAGGTACACGCACTGGCACCTGCAACATGGTGAATGCTGCCCCTCATCACACTATTTGCATCGCATGGCAAACTACCACTTCAGAAATAAGCCGTGTCCTCAGGTATTAAAACACCACATTTCATATCCTGGTGGCTGCAAGCTGGAAGGCATTATTTGCTCTGCAATGTCCTCACTAGAGGGCAATGTGGGATAGAGCATCCACTGAAAAGGGAAACAGGTATCTAAGATGTTACAATAAGATATTAAATTATTATTCACCTCTAGGCTAGCTTAAGAAACCCTCATGTTAATTGTGTTTTTACTTTTTCTATAATTTGTCCTAAAATCAAGAAAACAACTGGCTCACCCCAGGCCCTTTTTGTTATTTTTTTTCAAGACTCCAACAAAATCCTGCCATTGCAGTAATAGTATTTTACACTTTATCTCACAAATCAAGAAGGTTTTGGAAAAACCCAAGGCATGGACTGTCATGATGGATAGTTTACAGCCTGTACAGAGCCCAGCCATGCTCAGGGATCAACAGAGCATGCTACTGGGCACAAGAATTAGGCTATTAGGTGATTGGGATTACGTGAAATTGAGGGCTCAAGGGGAAATTAGCCAAGTTAGAATCAGCTTAAGACATCTTTCCTCTTTTGAGAAATTCTGCACGATGGCTAGTCACCCCCGTTATTAGGAAAACACTTTCCACATCATCCACCGAGTCATACAACCATGAAGCTGCTGCTTAGTAGAGAAGGAAGTCTAGCAAAACCCCTTTTCCCTGTCCTGGGGTTGCTGCTAAGGGTAAAGATGTGCTAAACTTGTGGCTAGCTCTGACACCACTTGCTAGGTCTTTTCCCATGTTTCCCTCTAACTTTTAGATCAGCCTGATTTGATAGAGCCAGAGGGCACTAATACCAGGAGCAAACAGATCAAAGGTCTAATCCCGGCTCCATCAGTCTCTTGCAAAACTCCCACTGATGGCAACAAAACTGGCAATCAGTATAGGATACTGCAGCCTCTTCCCTTTCATTCTCAGCTTAGAATTTCTATCACTCAGAGCAGCACATTAATAAATATCCTCCTCGAGGATACTGCCCTGGAAACAAATGCTTCTTGCTCTGCAGGGCTGTCTGCACCTCTTCAAAGGGGTCTGTGCTTGGTCCTACATCCAACGTTTGGAGCAGGAGCGGGCATGTCCCCAGCGCAGTTAGCCCTACACAGACCAGCGGAAACTAGGATGAAAAAGGTTTCTCCTTTGTGCAACTTGGTGGTATTTTTATTTTTAATCTTAGAATTATTTTTTTAATTCTTACCAAATTATGGCAATTCTTAGAAATACTCAAGAGATGCAAATTAAAAAACAAAATGACCCTGCTTTGGGTCAATTCAAACATTTTGTTTGATAACTCACAAATACTTCATTTCAGTTTGGGCCCTTTTAAAGCACAATTACATTTTACTTTGAAAACAGCTAATGATTTTCAGCTTTCCTGCTCTGTCCCCTTCACCAGTCTCCCTGCCTCCCTAAAAGGCAGGAAAAAAAAAAAAAGAAGCAAGCCAGGCTGGACTGAGAAATCAGAAATATTTTCCTC